ATGACAAGGAATGGTTTGCAGCAAAGATTTCTGAGGCCTTATGCAGACACCTGGGCTGTTTGTACTAAATCTCAAAGGCTGAACAATAATGTGGAAAAACTTGCAAACTGTGCAAAAGTATCCAAGGAAGCCAAATCTCAATGGTAAGGAGCTGCAAAAAAAGATCTTACTATGCTGGGTAACTGCATGATAAAATGGGGATGAAACTTAATGTGCTAAGTCCAAAGTGATATACATGGAGAAAAATATTTTCATCTATACATATACACGATTACAGACTCTAAATTTGCTGTTATTTACTACTCATAAGGAGATAAAAGGAGTCATCCTAGACACACCATACAGTACTTGCAACTGCAAAAAAGACAGAACGCAGTTATTAGGAACAGAAACTGATAATGAAAGCGAAGTCTTCATTATGTCCACATATTAGTCTGATAATATCCTGACATCCTGAATAGTGTGTGTGGTTCTGGCCACCCTGTCAATAAAGGAATACAACATATCAGGAAAAATAACAGAAAGACCACAGAGGTAAGTAGGAATATTGAAGAGCTTCCATGTGGGAAGGGAGTTAAGTATTTTGGAAGAGAGGTAACTGAGAGGGGATTGAGATCTACAAATCAAGTATTGTGTGCATGTGGGAATGATTCCTAGCGACTTTCAAGGAGAGGAAGCAAATAATGCAATCATCAGACTGCAGGTTAGAGATCTAAAATAAATCCACTTCTCTACACAACAAATAATTAGACAATAAAACTCAATGCCAAGGGCAGCTGTGCTGGCCAAAAGACAAGTCATTTCAACATCAGATTAGGCAAATTCATCAGGGACAGATGCGTCACTGGCTGTGAACAGCGATCTGAAAGAGACAACTCTAGAGCTGTTACTGGTAAAGCAGACAAAAAACATCTAACAATTTCTCCACACACCTTGTTTGCTACCCACCTCCAAAGACAACTGCTCCTGGCCACTGCTGGAGATGGCACACAGCAACAAAATGCTTTTGTACCTGCCCAGAATGGCAGCTCCTCTGCTGACTGAGAGATTTGACTAAAATTCCCCAACAAACAACAAAAGTCCCATGATTATTAAAAGGAATACAGGCACCCAGAAGTATGCTATGAGGTTACAAGCTTTTAAGGCTCCTCATCTTGCCTCTAGAACAGGAAGGCTGAGCTCAACTGTAACGTTATATAAAAGGGCTGAAATCTGATCTAAGCAATGAATTCATGTTCACTGCTCAATACCAGCCTAAGTGCTTCATTCACCTGGTAGAGCGATCAAAGGCTTAAATGTGCATGAACCTACGCTAGGAGATGAGACTGGAAAAAGGCTGAGAAATCAAGGGAGATATGAACCCTCCCTGCCTCTCAGGCAATGGAAAGAGAAAAAACAAATGAAATAAGGACTGAGTGCAACTGAACTTAAGCAGACTTCAGATACTTCAGGAACACAGTAGAACAGATTCAGCAGAACTAATGAAAACTGCTAACATAAAATGGCAGTGGAAAAGCGCATGTAATTTTAAATTAAGCAGGCTAAGCGTACTCCTCTGCAGGCAGTAAGTTTTGTGTTTTAAAAGGAATATTAATAGCCAGACCAGCATGCCCAAGCAGACCAGAAATGCCTCAGTCTTGTTTCCTTTGACAACAAAGTGCCACCCTGAACAAGAGAAACATTTCAGACAACCACTTATGAGTACAGGGATTTGAATTTGCTAAAGCATGCAAGTCTGTCTAAAAAAATTACACAGTTTATGTTATCTTGGCTATTCATTTGGGGATTTAAATGTGCAACAATAAGTGCAATTTAGCTAAGAAAAAATCTGAAAGATAGAAGAAGAGACTTAAAAGAGGAAAAAGAAATTCAAATTTCCAAGCAGTGATTATGTGATAAGGAGATACATGGCTGCAGGAACAGCATGCTCAGCAAGAGAGAGCATTTACCCCAGTTGGATTTTCTGCCAGTCTTAGAGCTCTTTCCCAGTCATTTTGGGTATTGATTATGGGAAACATCCAAGAATGTGGCCAATCTCACATGGCACAAGGTCCGAGGAATACAGTGTAACACAGCACCACCCAGTTGTCTTCAAACAAAGCAGTGTCATCACCATGAAGGAAGAGGTTTTGGATAAATTAATTACCAAAAACTCTCCCTCCTACAGCAATGCATTTTAATAAAATGGCTGGAATGACATAAAAAATGACATAAAGAAATAAACTCAATTCTACATCTGTGCTGAGGAATTTGTTTTCAAGAGGTGATATGAACGATGAGAACAGTCTTTTTCCAGTCAAAAAACAAAAAATAAAAAAGATTTTTAGTATTTTTGAAAAATAAATGGGAAGTTAGAAAGGGCCTGCAAAGACCACAACTCGATCACTTCAAGGCTAACCAGAAGTTAAAGTGTATTATTAAGGGCATTTATCCAAATGCTCCTTGGACACTGACAGGCACACTGGAGCAACCACTATGCTAGGAAGCCTGGTTCAGTGTCTGACCATCCTTATGGTAAAGAAAAGACTCAAGGAAATAACTCACTGAAGCAGACCTTATTAGTGGCACATCAGAAACAACCGTACAGGCTTAAGAAGTAAGACATTGCTTTTGAGCAAGGCAAACTGTAAATGGAAAAGATTTTGACAAGAGATTAAATACCAGTGCAACCCAGCAGGAAAACAAGGTGCAAAAGGATTCCACGCCTGCTAACAATTCAGTCTGTAACACTGCACAGAAATAAGGCAATTGTCATTATCTATAATAATCTCCGCACGCCGTCATCATAAACAAAGCCCCACTGTGCAAAGATGCTTCTGTAATGCTGAGCAAAACGCCAGTGGAGGCAAAGGGGTGAAGTGGGAATGACGGCACTGGGAGCGGAATCTGTCAGCAGCAGGCAGCACATCCCTTCGTGGCAGAAATCCCAGCAAGGAGGGCTTTGAAGAAATGCACAAAGGAAAACAAAGGCAAACGCGCAGGTTCTTGAAAGTGACACACTTCATTTAGGGAAACACAGGATGCACTGGTGGGATGCAGATCAGAAATTCTCGAAGGCAGATAAAGGAGAAGTATGCAGGCAACTCTGTAATGAGGAGTAATCTGAAGTGTAAGGAAGGGAGAAGCACGCAGATGAGTGTGAAAGAAGCAGGTATGCAAAAAGGATGGCTTAGAATTTTTTTTAACAGTATTCCCAATGGATTATTCAATAATAACAATTCTTAGATTCAGATCTTAAGAGCTGTTCCTCAGAGCAGAATACGTACTGCTGCTGGGTGAAAGGTACACTGTGCACCTTGCACATGAACTCTCTCTCTCTAGGAGAAGCCTGCAGAACACAAAAACACTGCTCTGTGGCTGAAGACAGAGTGATGGGGAGATGGCAACTCCTGGCAGCACGGCCCTAAGGAGCAGAGCCCAGTGTGCAGAAACAATCCCCAGGGCCACTGGTGGCTGCTGCCCAGGGGAAGTGAATGCCTGGGAGTACGTCTTCCTGTAGTGATGCACTATCACAGAACACACATGTAAAGAAAGGAAAAAAGCAGAAAAAAGCTGGAATGCAGGGTCATGAGCTCAAGCAATAGATAACCAATTGCAGCCCAGGTGAGTGAAACAACTCAGTAGTAGGCACTGATGAAAAGACCTCAGATATAGAGGAGGTTTTCGATGTTAAAAAGAAAAAATCCTGCTGGCCAAAAACATGAATGGGCTTAAAGAAGAATATGTTAGTTCACTATTCAATAATCACCAAAAAAAACCCCAAAACTACAAACAATGATGATATATGTGCTGCTTAAACAGCTCATTACAATAACAACTGCTTTTCTAAAGTGAATTTATTTAAAAACACTGCAGAATAGGGCTGGCCAAAGACACATATCACAGAGAAGCCTTCAGTAAACGAGGAGCGGTTCAGAAGCAGCAGCAAACATAAAGAGCAGCAGAAAGTCAAGGCCAGATGATTCCAGTTGGATGGCACAAAGCGCTGGGGTGGTGGCAGGAGTTCCTCTGAAGGATAGGCTGGATGTTCCACTAGAGAAAGAGCTTGTTTTTGCCTAAGGAGTGGTTTAGCTCCCCAAAATAGGAGTGGAAAAAAAAAAGATAATGAACCACAGAATCATATTATTGAATCACAGAACGGCTTGGGTTGGAAGGGGCCTTAACAACCACCTGGTTCTACCCTCCCTGCCCCAGGCAAGGTTGCCACCACAAGATCAGGCTGCGCCCAGATAACAAAGATCTTTTGGCCTCGGGTCAGGACGTTGCTGAACCATGATAAAAGCAATAATATCATGCAACTACTTGCAAGCTACATCTTAAGTGTTTACGTATCTGTGTAAGATCACAGAATCATTAAGTTCGGAAAAGACCACTAAGATCGAGTCCAACCATCAGAGTTGATCCCCACCATGCCCACTGACCTCAGTGCCACATCCACACAGCTCTGGAACACCTCCAGGGATGGTGGCCACCACCTCCCTGGGCAGCCTGTTTCAACAGGTACGAATCTATACTATAGATAAAAAGGACTCATATGAGCCACAGAGTACGGGAAATAAATCACTGTGCAAGATCAAGAAGGAATTTCATTTTCACGTGAAGCAGAAATAGAACGGTAGGGGCAACTTTGGTTTAAGTTTATTTTACACAGACACACCCTCTTCTCGCTCCTTATTCCTCCATCTTCTGAAGGCTCTCACCCAAAAGCAGCAATGCAAGTCAGCAATAAATTACTCTTTGTCAGGCAGTGTCAAAGACTCAGAAAGGGAAATTCTTCTTTTGGCACTGCCCTTGAAGCTATTAGTCCAGAAAGCAGAATATGGTCGTAACTTCGTCAAAGCTCCTACTCCCTAGGATCTGTCTGTGCACATTTCTACTTAGCAGCATCACTTTAGAGCCTGTATTCTTGCCAATCACAGCATGTGACACTTCAAAGGAAGTATAATTAAATTTGAGTACAGGAGTAAAGAGTACATTAAAAAATTCCTAAAATATTTTTATATACCTACAGTGGAGCTAGTGGAATCATTCTAATGTAAACAATTTCCTAAAATTAACATCTAAAAATTGCTTGTAAAGCAATTGTAAAGTAGTGGTTACACATTGTGCCAGTCTTGAAATCTCAGCGGTAAATTCAACTTGGAGACTGGAGACCCTCCTCCATAAAACAAGTTTTAATAAATATGGAGAGTATCAGTACATTCAAGCTTGCACCTTCAGCATTTTAACTTTCTACAAGAAAATAGAAAACTAATATCAGATGAACAAATAACATCTTCATCATCTTTCAGGGAAATGAATCTCAATGATAGAACAAAAACTTTTGAGTGACTTAACTTTCTCTCTTTTCACGTACGCAACTAAAACACACAAGCTCGTACCAGCTCCCCAATGTGCAATTTAATTATGAATATTTCAAACACACTACAGTTTCAATTCTCAAAGAACTCTACAAGTCTGTCTTGATAATCACAAAATGAGTGTTTTTAAAGCACATCTTATTGAGTAATTAACAGTTCTCTGTGCAACTTTCGACAAGTCTGTGATAGTATAGGCACGGGCTCTGAAACAACCACAGCTCTCAAAACTGAACTGAAGTACCTGAAATTGCCTTACCCTCTCTTTTTTTTAGAGTCTCACACAGATCAGCAGTATCTTCTAGAGGAAGTCTCTATTTCAGAAATTCATGCCAGGACATACTTTTTCTCTCCCTTCATAATAAAGCTTTTATGAGCTCCACACTCTCCTGTAATCATCAGTGATTTTCTTAAACTTAGAAAGTAAGAATAATGTAAGGAAGGAGTCAAAGGAGCAAGAGAAGTTGCAGTTAAAACAGCTCAGTGCAAAGTACCAACAGAACTGTATGAAGGCTACTTCTGAAAGTAATGCTTATTTTATTATGTTGGCCCATGATGTCAGTGGCAGATTGTGGTGATATAGCAGAACAGGCTGAACCTTCCCACCAATAATCCATTTTGTTGCTGTGTGACACAGGGCAGCAGAGGGACATTCTGACCGGATGGTGCCTGCCATGGAAGTGTGTATGAAGCAAAGGTGTGTCAGTGAATTCCTCCATGTGGAAAAAACAGCACTCACTGACATTCATCGATGATTGCTGAACGGTTATGGAAATCAAACAGCAGATGTGAGTACAGCGAGGCGGTGGGTGGCGTGTTTCAGCAGTGGCAAGAGCAATAGCCACGTTCTGGAGGGCCATGTAGATTTTTCTGAGCACAGCACACAGGTTCTTGTTCACTGCTAGCAAAAAATGCATTCCTAATGGTGCTGACTACATTGAAAAATAGCTGAGATTTTGCTCTACCCAAGAGTGTTATCCCACTCTTTGTACCTGCTGTAGCTTCCACGGAAATAAATAGGATGCATTACTTTCAGAGTGAGCCAGGTATTTTGCTAAGGCAGAAAAAACTAGAAATGACAAATGTGTTGAATTAAGGGATTTAACTGTGAATCACAAAAAAAAAAAATAGAAGCAAGAAATAGGAAAAATATGTCACTACCACGTGAAGGCCACATAATCAGTTTTTACCTCCAACCTTTTTTTGTTTTTTTGCTTAAATACAAAGAAAGCTTAGGACATGGACAACTAGTTGACTGAGGTAAAACTTAAGTATTTAAGCTACGAGAAGTTGTGCAAGCAGCCCTCAGAAGAGATATGCAATCTATTTATAACACTGCTAGCCTAGGTAGGGGGGAAAAAACCAGCACAGCTGGTACACACAGAGCTCCAGCGATGCTCTTCTACTCCAGTACTAGTCTTGGGTAGTCACTAGTGTATGCTAAGTCCTACGCTGTAACATGCTCTTACCAATGATTCAGGAAGTCTGAAGACAACCAAAGTAGATACAGTCATAGTCTCAACACTACTGAACTTTTCAAAAAAACTGGAGCTATTTTAATCCTTCTAACTGCAGAGAAATGCCTGCTTGAGGTTAGTCAGGATGGCATATCATGCTTTTCCCTGTATCAATGCTGACACTAAGAGTCAAGAAAGTCGGTCCAGACAATAACAAATAGATTGATAAAAATGTGGTGGAGGCAGTTTACTGCCAGATGAGCTCTCTCCATTAGCTCAGACTCAGAGCAGTGGTGCTGGGAGAAGGAAAGGCACTGGAGAAAAGAATGACTCCTAGAACCTGTAACAGAGTCTAGGCTGAAGTTACCCCTGTAGTTCCTAACTGTTCCATTGACACTTCTGAAATAGTGAACCCGGACCCTCCACTCATCCTTCCCCTAACTTACCACACTACAGCAAAAAGTAATCAAGAACAACCGCTTCACTAGAAATGGCTATTTCAACAATTTAACAAGGGATTTTGAAAAAGCCTTCAGTTGGAGCGAAGAATGGACTAAGGCAAACCACGAGGCTGTAGGAAGAGAAGCTAGTGTTACTGAGAGCACAACTGGAAACTTCAGCAGGCTTGTTGAGGAAGACTGTTCTTTTAGAAGTTCTCCCAGTGAGGGAGCATCCACAGCCAGACTCTGTGTCTTAGGTCCAGGCTGTACCACTTTGATCTTCTGCTCCAAATTCTGTTCCTCTCCCTTCCTGGCTCTACACAGCAGTTGGTTTCCCTCAACAACTCATTCCTACATCAAGATTCACAACCCATATTCCCTAAGCAACCCTGTGCCCCCAACTCCAGCTACATGCCTTCTCAACATGGCTCAATCCACTTACGCTCACCCATAGCTTCAGCAATACAAGACTGCTGTTAAATGCTAATTACTTACTAATGAAAACTAATCATCATGCAATTAAACTTTAATCACTAAGCAGCTGGCTGAGATCCAACCCTTAACAATGAAGGTTCATTAATAACTTTTCTCGAAGTGCTTTATCCATGAAGACCATCCTGTACTTCACACGGAGTCTGTGAGTATGCATGAAATTCCGATGCAAAAATATTTCTTCTGTTAAGAAAGAAAAAAACTAACAATAAAATAAACCAGTCAGAACACAGTTTAAGTAAAGAACAGTACTGTTTAGGTGAAAAGTATGGTTTAGGGTGCAAGCAGGCTAGACTTCACTCCTGGCTTCCCCCACATCCTCAGGAAACGTGCGGTACGGACAGGGAGCAGCTCTTCTCTCTGATTCTCTTATCTTCAGTGTAATGTTCAAGGCAAGAACTGTCTTCTGAGTTTTAATTTTTGCTATAGTTTCTAAAATTATTGCAAGAATTCTCATCACAGTTTTATTTTTACCCAGCTCTTCCAGAGAAATTAATCTAAACCCTTTCAGAATACATTTCTCTAATTAATGAGTACATCGGGGTTATATAACTGGGTTTATAATGGACAGATGAAAATTATTCTTTCCAAAGATAAAAGTTTTTAAATTGCTGTATTATAATAAATAAAATTACATCACCTTTGGAAAGTTTCTCAGTTATGACCCTACACCATTCCCACCCCAGTCCCAAAGCATTATGCTTCTATAGCTAAGTAATGGGTTTGCTGTGTAGTGTCTGAAGAGCTTTCCTTTCCTCTGAATAGTAGAACAGTAGTACAGCTGAAGCATTATTTGGCTTACTCAGTGATTACAGGGTTCAGGATATGGTTTACATTTACAAATAAAATATTTTAAATAAAAAGTCTTACAAAAGATGTAACAAATCTAATAGTCCATACAATATTTTCTAACAAAAATTCGTGAATTTTTACATTCATAAATTAAACTTTCAAACTGACCAAATAAAGAAACAAAGTGTTTCGATTTTGAAAAAAAAAAAAAAAAACTTAAATCTGCATTTTTGCCTAGTTTTAATCAGTTATAAGGTATAAATACAGAGGTGTGGCTGAGAATAAGCTTCTGAAGTTCTTGCATGTCCTCCAACACCTATTTTTTAGGTAGCAATCTCCTAACGATGGCAGAGGGATACAGCTCAACCAACTACCGCCTGGAATCAGTTCTAAGTTCATGAAGTTAAAACAAACATCAGCAGCACTGCAAGTCTCCACCCCAGCTTTTGGGAAGCATGCTATCTTTTTGCTAGCACAGCTTAAAAAGATTAAAGCTAAAAAGACACAAATCAATTGTATTCTCTTGCTATTGAGAATTTAGCATGAGTTTGGCATCTCTACAGTAACACAAGTAACAAAAAGGACTGTGTGAGTTTGCGGATAGCCAGACAAAAGCTCTGAAGTTTTGCTAAAAAAAAAACTCCAGCACAGAAATTTACATACACATTTGGAAGCGCTTCTAAAAAATACACTCAAGTAACGCACATTTCTAAGTGAAAACTACACAGATTTTGAGAATCCCTGATGCACAATAGAAAGGCCACAACCGAGGAATGAGCAAGTTGTATTCTACATTTAAAGGTTTCCAGTGCTCCTGGCTACAGCTAACATAAGTGCTTAAACATCCTATTCTTCCCCAATGCTCCACTGTCAGTAAATCTATTTCCTGCTCTGATTACTCAACATGCTAGACAATTAAGATATGAAACCACATGTAAGCACACACACAACATCCATACTCCAGGATAAACTAATGGCAAAAGAGTCTGCCAAACACACACAAAAATTACTTCCCTATCCTCAACCCTTTATCTTCTCTCTGTCATATAAAAGATTGATAACGGAGAGGTCTTTCCTCTCTTCCCAATATGATATTTATGTTCGAGAGCTCAACTAAACTGCATTTCCTGGCACCTACAATCCACAATCACCTACTTGCTGCAACCATTTTACCCAATTACTACTCGTGATAAAGGAAAGCAAGTTTTATCCCTCCAAACACAATTAATGGTTTTCAATCACTCAAAATATTGAAATATATGCATCAGAAGTGCAGATGCAGATTCTGTCTGCTCATGTCTTTGGCAGCTAAGGACTGTGATACCAACACAGAGCTGCTATGAGCTCCACAGCACTATTCATTCACACCCACAGGTCGCTACCAGAGGTAGACAGTGAACTGAGATACAACAGGGGCTCTACCAGGCTCTCATCTCTGTGGATGCACACTCACGCACAACAGGAGTCATGACAGCACAGTCAGTTGCAGTAGCACAGCAGATGGCAATGCTTTTCTGAGAAAACTGAAACAGAAATTTGCTATTCAGCCTGTCTTTCAGAATTTCTTCTCCACCAGAAATTTCATGCTTCCTTGTTTTTATAATACTGCAGAAGAATACCAAGGATGCAGCCATATAGTGAGAAATTAAATATCAGATTAATCATACTAAGGACTGTCTTCAGTAAAGAGCAAACCTGTTTTCAGTTCAGGTAGGGCTGCCACCTGCCAGCTCAGGCTGCCCAGGGCCCCATCTAATCTGGCCCCAGCACTTTCCAGGGATGGTACAACCAAAGCTTCTCTGGGAAGTCTGTCAATGAGAACCAAGAACTCAAGAACTCTAAGGGTAATGGGAGATTGGGCCTTGAGATTCCATGGCAATTGTCTCTTGTGTGGTCACAGCACACTAAAAGCTGCTGACAGTAACAGGCAATGTTCTCCACCTTCCCCTTTTTCAACCACTGCTTATAGGTAGTTTTTAAATTTGTTGCTGGTTTCCCCTCTTTTCACCTCCACATTAGAAAATTCACCAGCTCCAGTATCACTTCTTCCTACTCTAGAAGTTTTTTCCTTATTATTACAAGTCTAGATATAAGAAACACAGGTTTTCCTTCCAACATTTGTCAGGCACGCAGCCTTTGAAGCAGATTATTACTTAGCTGAACCCTGACCTGATGTAGAACTTCACTCGATGGGGTTTTTGATAGAATTTAAGCAAAGAAAAATTACGAAAAAGAAAAATGTGCAGAACCTGACTTTTCTGTTATCTAGAAAGGATAATGAATAAGAGGACAACATTCATCTTCCAACAACCCTGAAAAGTAAAACCACAGGACTAAAACACTTCTAAGTAGTGGAGTCCATTTTGTGTTAATGCAATGCAAAGGTTATAACTACCAGTGGAAAGGCTCTGACCAGTCACATGGAGCCCACATTTCAGAGAATAAGTTGATGGAAATGGCTGATGTGGCAGAATATACTCCCCTGTCTTGTCTGGTCTTCTGATCAAATACCAGGCTAAAAATCAACCCACTGACCAGCCTACTACAAGGGAGACAACAGGAACTAACAGCTTTCAAAGACAAAGAAGCAGGATCCTCTCCTGGCAGCAGCTCCCTCCTAGCCTGGCTTACGGACAACAAAGCACACCTGCGCCCAGTGAGACATCCAAAATAAAACTGACACCTTCACACCATTGGCACTATGCTATTTAGGTTTCTGGGACTAGAAACTGCTTTGCCAGAGGTAGCTAACCTTGCACAGTTTTCTTAGTTTGTACTCAGCTGCTAGCTGAGGCATCTCAGTCACCATGAGTTAAGAACCTTTCAAAAGCAATTACTCAGGGCACACAGCAACATTTTTGTCAGGCTTTGGTTTCTCAAATCTGATAGCTTACAGTGATCCCTCTAAGGACCTTTCTTTACCCAACTTACAGCTTGGATCCCAGAAGGCAGAGGCATACAAATTAAAATAGTTCTGTGAATGCAACAGAGTAAACATCATATGTATGCAACCCTTATTTCCTCTATGGCACAGGTTTCCCCAGACAGATACTTTGGAAGATCAGCCAGCAGGAGTTTGAAGATCCAGAACAACTTTTCTGTGCAAACCCAATGTTCTCCAGGAAATCTTGGAAGCACATATTAAACCCATCTCTAGTCCAACATACCATCAAAGGTACACTGAACACAAGTGAGAAGTTTCCAAGGATTTCTTCTTGATATGTATGAGGATTAAGAGTCTTCAAGATGAAAATGAAGTAGAAATCAGTGAAAAAGGCATTACATTCTTCAGACTTCTTTCAAAAGATCTTTAAAAGAGGGATAAACAAATTTTCCTTTCAAGAAGCACCGTCATCAGAACCAAAGAGCTAAGATTTACGTTCATCAAGGTTAATTCTGACAATGATAGGAGGGAAAAAGAACAAGCAGAAATAATTCCTGTGTTAGGCCACAGCCTCTGCCCTGGAAGAAAGGATTCAAGCACCAGCATGCCACCTCCTAGTAAACTGCCTTTTAGAAAAAAAAAAGTCAAAACCAAACAACAGTAGAACTATCTATCTCCCTGGAGTCTACAGCTGTGATTTAAAGGTTCTCTGGATTGCTCCTCTCCCTACTTGCAGCTTCCTAAATTTAATTCTGAGAATGAAGACCATCCATTCTTACAAACATTAAGCCTGCTGAGGGCCAACGCAGCTTCCTAATTTTGCCAGCTTCAAAGTAACCAAGACTCCAGTTTCTCATGAGCAGGAAAACAAAGGGAAGATGAACAAGGAAATAAAGCGCTTTCTTAAAAGTATTTGCAGCAAAGTGCATGCCACTGTTAGATTTCCAAATCTATAAATGCAAAGAAGTAGCCTGACATAACTGTAAGAAGAGATGTAAAACCAAACTGAAACATAGGAAGAATACAGATATACTGTATCTTACCAAGTAAGGCTAGGAATCCTTAAATATTCTCTGCTGCAAAAAGACTAGCCTCAAAGTTCTCCATATCATAAGGCAAAAATACTATTCTCTAATGATTGACTTCAACCATGGTGTCCAATCACCTTCAATATTTGAAAGCAAATACTCTATAGGTGATAGGTCCATCCAGCCCTACAGAGACAGCAATTTCTCAATTCAAGATTTCTTTAGCTCTCAAACCAAAAAAAACCTAATAGAAGGACATCAGTTAGCACCCTTACTGTGATCTAACAATGAGTATTAAGAAGGAACAAGACTGCTTGGCAGGTGGGTCCATCTGCAGAGACATCTAATTTTAAACTCAAAATAAGGAAGATTAAGACATTCTGCATCTAAAGCGCTCCCATTCATCTAATGAGTTCTTTGTGATCTCAGAAACAGTAACCCCACTGGAGAACACACATGTGCTTTTTTTTTGGGGGCGGGGGGGGTTGAGGAATACTGCTTAGTAAACCACCTAGATAATGCTTTCAACATCATTTTTAGTCTAGGGTGAAATCAAGCTTTAAGGAAAGCTCAAAGATCAAGAAAGTCATTTCAGTTTGATGAAAGCTTTTTTTAAAAAAAAGAAAATACTTTCTCATTTTAAATTCTCCCAGAGCATCTGGTATAACTAGATCTTTGAGAAACCTCACATACATTTAAACTTTCTTTGAGATTGACTACGGGGCTGCTCTCCAAAAGCAGCCATCAGCCACAGATATTTATTCATAGAAGGAACGGAAGAAAATTTAACACAGCAAGAGAAACACTTCAAATTCTCTGCTGATTCTGGAAGGCAAAGAAGAATCAGAAGTGTCTGAAAAAATCTGTAACAAGCTTCCACGGAAGCAAGGTGAGTTGGTGTGAGAAGAACAAACACAGGATGAGTTACTTAGACCACTATCACAGTTGATGGCCTTGGACAAGAAAGCACTACATATACATGGAGTGCTCATTCCAGGCTCTCATAATCCCTTCATATATCATAAGAAAATGTCTTTCCTCTTCCTAGACGAAATTACCAAGTGCTTGTGCCCCCATTTACCTCCTCTTTCCTGCCAGCGAATACCTATGTGGTTTGCATATCTGCTTTTCCAGGACACACACACACCGATGAACTGCAAGTCAGCTGAAAGAAAAGGAAAATGCACTTGCAAAGCAAAGACGATATATGGAAAGAGCATATGCAACAAGCATAGGAAATCAGTTGTCAGAGCCAGAAGGCAGTCCTCGGGGAGCAGGGCAGCAGAGCTTAGTTCAACACAGCCTTTCCACTGCCTGAGGAAGGCTTGTGGCAGGTACAGCTCTGATATCCTGACTGCCAACTCTGCGCTGTGCGTAACCCTCTCCGAAATGAGAGGGAGAAGGACAGAGCTTCCAGAGAACGCAGCACTACAATTTGCTACAGCAGAATAAACAGGTTAAAGAAAAAAAATGCGGACAGGAGTTTAAATAACAACAGCAACAACAACCACAAAAAAACACCACACACAAAGAAAAAAAACCCAAACCCATTCCATTGTTTGTAATAGAAGTGAAGGAGAAAGATGGATTACTTTTACCAATGAAATGAAGAACTGCCAAGCATTCAGTTATGACATTTGTTACTGTGTTTGCATAAGACCGAACATAATATGCTACACACAAATGGTCTGAATCTTTAAAGGTCCACGGCCCCTGACAGAACAGTGGTGAGCACTGAAAAGATACATGCTGCATCTCATACTATTTGCTACGGCCTTAAATAGGAAGAACTAGAATTTTGAGAAGGTTCTACTGCTCAGATTCACCAAGCTAGAACAAGATGGCAGATGATGGATTAAGGACGATGTAGATTCAAAAGCAGTGTCAAAAGCTAGAGTCTCAGACCTCACCATGAATTCAAAAGCCATCTTTAAGATCCTGACAGAAGAAGACAGATCTGGAGCAAAAAGGAAGTTTTGTAGAACTGGAATATAACAAGTGGATTACCAGAAGTTACCTAAAGACATGGCACTCTGGGACCAGGGGAGGAAAGCACAGGCTCAGCAAACCACACAAAAAGTTACAAGTAATGAACAACCACCTCTGCAAAGCCAGTGGAGAGAACAGAAGTAATCAAAAGAGGACACAGACAGGAAACAAGGCAGAACAACTATTAAAGAGCAGCACAGTTGATAGTGACAAATATAGTTGACAGAGAAGAACTGAATTTGAACTTTAGCTAGGAAGTGATCACAGTAAACACTGATTACAATTGTAGCAGAGCACAACGGAAGCCAAAGTGGAGGAGGATAAGCACACCAGACAATGCACCCAAAGAATTTTGAGATGAAAAAAGGAAATGAAGGGTAGTTGCAGAAGCAAGAGAGGCCACAGGCATTTTGTACGCTTCTTTGAAAAATGTGAAACACTTGTGTCTACAGGTCACTATAAGGGAAAAAACCCTCAGAGCTGAGTGAGTGATTAAAGGAAAAAGGTAAAAGAGAAAGGCCAGCAAGTTGAAGGGAGATAAGGGGATATTACTGTATAATGCCATAAGATTAAGTGAAAGGGTTAAGAAGAGGAGTGCAAAATTCCACTTGTGACAAGGAGATGATCCTAACAGCTGACGAAAGTGACAAGGAGTAGGCCAACGTGTACTCACTCAGAAAATCATCATGATCCCATACAGAGAAGGAACAACATATCGAACAACATCCAACAACCATGTAAAAACACTGCTGACAATGAGATACTATTTGCCAAGTCTGATTAGATTTACTGATACAGCCATGATGTTTTGTCTGCCACAAACCCTTTGGAAGTACAGAAACACAAAAAGGATCACTGAAGAACAACTCCTCAAGCAGTTCAAGAATTTGAGAAGCCATCTACCATTGGGAAAACAAGAATCATAAATGGGAGGACACACCCTGAGAACAGGAAAAAGGGAAAAATATGCTAGAGAGATCCAAACTGAAAATACTGATCAACTGCAAGACACGTGAAAGGACAGTTACATTACAAGCAGAATCCAAATGATGTTGGAGATCCCAAAAGAAACCCTGCAATTATCAGAGATAAGAAATTCAGCACACAAACACTACTTGGTGAAAAGCAAATGAAATTAACTGACTTTATTTAATGAGAAGCTAGAAACAGGAATGCAGGCCAAATCAAGTTAGGGCAAAGAAGCATGTAATTACTGTCAAAGAACAGAGAGCAAAAAGGCAGAACAAGCCAGGAATCAAACTGGTAGAGGAGAGCTCAGGAGGTGGCAATGAGCTGCACGTAGGAACTCAGAGAAAAGATTAAAAAACTAGATCTAGAACACTGCTTAGGAAAAAAAAAGAATCTGAAGGCAGTGGGAAAAAGCAGTCCAGCATCTTGTGCATGGTCTGGCCCAAGACAGAAAGCATGAAGCAAGAGGGTAAGCATAAATAAAGGAACGTAGCACACTGATAATGGCAAGGGAAGTCAAATTAGATATGGTTCTGAAGCGTCAGCTTCAGTCTCAGATAATCAATTATGGGTGCCTCCATCCACAACCAGGTGACAGTGAATAAAGCTCTCTTCGTCCCTGCTTTGATTTTACATTTCTCCTTATTCATTGTGTACTTGCACTTCGGAGAATGCCAGTTATTAGTATGATTGTGCTATAATTCGTACAGAACTCTTCAAGCCACCCAAGTTCTACTCAATTTACAGACTTCCATGTCATTCCACTTTATCGACCTTAATATGCAGGACCAAGGAATAAGTATTACAGTCTAAGAATAAATCATTTGGGTGCAAAAGGACATCTGCAGATGTGTGGTCTAAACTCCTGCCTAAAGCAGGGCCAATTCTGAAGCTACTTTCAATTTCGCAGGTAAAGTGAGTTGCTTTAGGACCTTGGGGTTGCATAAATGTGACTGGACAGCTAATCCACAACTTCTGTTGTTCCCACCTCTCTCCCCCCCCCCCCACTCCCAATCCCATATTTGACCACTGTGAATTTTTTTTTGCTCAATACTGAATTGGAATTTCCCTTGCTGCAGCTTGTGTCAGCTTTGATTCGTCCTTCCACTGCACAACTGCAAGAGCAGCCCTGGAAAGCATTAAATATCTAATAGGACAGACAAAGAAAAAAAGATGCTGTAGTCACGAGAAAACTTTTGGACAACTGGAACTTTTAGTAGGCAATACGAATCTAGGCTTTTGAGGCTCAAAATTTCTGTCTGATCAGGTAGGTGTGGCAGAAATCTAAAGAAAGCCATCTGAAGGGCATCACTATATATTTATTTACAGATGAAAGATGATTGTTTAAGATATGAGAGAAGAAGAAAAACAACATTTCAAATGGTACACTTAATGCAAACAAGCAAAAAAAAAAAAGCCATAGTAAATTTCAGTACTCACCATCTCTCTTGCAATCTCCACAGCTTCCTGCAGCCCATAGAGCCTGCCACAGACCAGGTAGATCCCATTGGCCCAGAGAATACAACCCTCATGGACCCAAAATTCATTGCTGTCAAGAGGTAGTTCAGGAATTTGTAACTCCAGCTCAGTGCCACCTTCTGAAGTGGGCATAGAGGGCTTTGAGTCCAAAGGAGTCTTTTCACCACCACTGCCACCTTCAGTGGTTGCTTTTTTACAAGAAGCTCCCCTTGAAAGTGACCGAGAGGCTCCACTACAGTCCTCAGAGCGGTGCCGCCTCTTAAAGCGGGGATGAGCAGCTAGGCTTCTTTGTTCCTTCTGTTGTTGCTGTTCCTCCTCCTCCTCTGTATCTGTCTTGGAACCATTAGAAGCACTTTTGTGCCGTACCTTGACCTTGCTCTGCATTTCTGTGGCCCTCTTTGGAGGTGGGTTCTTGGGCAAGGTGGCTGCGTAATCCTGGGGGTAGAAAGGACCAAAGAGGTCACCCATATTACGATAGCTGGCCCATTTGCCACACAGGCAGCAAACGAGATGCCCCAAGACTGAAGACTCTGTTACTACAGGGCCCTGCAGCATGAAAGTTGAGGTGGGCAGCACTTTGCTCTCCACATTGCTAGGAGGGGGTGTTGAAGACCTCTGTCCTTTCCGACCCCTCACCAGTTTGTTCTGCTCCTCTTCCTCCGCATTAATGATTGTGCACACAGCTCCTAGTTCACACTTGTTTACCACGTGAATGTAAGGAAAAAAGGATTTATTCTTGGAGTCAGTTTTATCCACAGCCTGGGTAGCATATTTAAGCTTGATCTCTGGCTCTTGAGGCTCCACAATTGGAGCGGCCCGTCTAGGCTTCCGCTTCCGTGGCTGTGCTGCAGGTTTTCGCCTCTCCCTCCTTTGCCTCTTAGGTTTTGGCTCACCCCCAGCAACCCCTTCTGAAGACTGAGAAGGTACAGGTGGAGGTGGTGGGGGTGGTGGCAGTTGCTGCTGCTGCTGCTGTTGCTTCTTTTGCTTGTTCACACTTCCAATTGGTCTCCCCTTTTTCTTTCCAGAAGGAAAATATCCCTTTGGAGGGAAGCCATCTGGCTTGGGTGAAATGTTTGTCACATCTCCATCTTTTTCCTCAGGCTTTGGGTTTGGTTCAGAAGTAAACACACTGGAGGGGGAAATCGTTTTTGAGTCTGGAAAGGCCAGAGTTCCAGTTCCGCTTACGGATCCATCAGACCTCCCCTGACCACCTGACTTTGGAGGAGGTGGTGCTGCACTGGATCCTGTTCCTTCTTTACTAACGTTGGCAGTTTCAGGGGTGTCTTTCTTGGTTTTATCATCCTCATTGCCTTGCCATTCTTCTGAGGATCGTGCAAGAGTTATTTCACTAGCTGTGTCCTGGCTTGCTGACCCTGCTTGATCTGACAACATCTCTCCTTTTCTCTTCTCAGCCTCCAGCCCATGTGCAGACACACTTCCTCCCTCAGGTCCGCTCTTAAGGGACAGGATGTCATCAAGAGTGACAGCATCTGCACCAGTTTCAGCACTGTTTGTGGAAACGCTTCTCCGAATATTGGGAGATGTAATTTTTTGAACAATTGCTTCCAGTTTTAATCCTCGTCCCTTTCTTGGGGGCAATATTTTGGTCTTAGCCGGGCTTGTGAGGGAAACAGCAGGACAATTCCTACCATCAGGACTTGGCAGATCCTTGAAGGAATCGCCCTTTGCAACTGGTTTGCCAACATCTTGGCTTTGAGATGAATGGGCATAGGAGTTGTATGCTTTATCAGCTCCTTCTTTTGCTGACGTCATCATTCGCCCTTTATCTTCACTGCCACTGTTCTTCATATCCTGTGGCTGTCTTTTGGTAGGGATAGGAGAGATGAAAGAACGGACTCTCCTCCTCATAATTAAGGGATTTTGAGGAGACTGGTCTTCATGGCCAGGGAGCCTGAGCATGGCATTGCTAGGCTTGGGCAAATCCGTAGATTCCTCTCGTCTGTGCCCATCGCTTTCTTGGGGGCAAAATCTTTTTTGGTTGGCTGCTCCAAGAGGGCCACTGCCTTTGGCAGGCGTAGTCTGCCGAGAGAGGTCCCAACCAGATTCATGCGGCTGCAGCTTCTGGTTACCATGTTTTAGGTCGGTGCACTTGCCTTGTGCGCTGTCGCTTCCCATAATGCAGCGCCCAGGATCCTGGCTTCCAGTATCGTGGTAAGAGCTACCCTGAAGGTACATCATTCCATCCTTGTCATTTTTCAAAGGACTCCTTACTCTGTCCAAAAACTGCTGTTGTCTCGGGCTCTTCCTGGCTCCTTCCTGTCTGTGCTGAGCTGCAGCAATCACACCCTGAGCAGCGCTGCTTGCCCAATCTTTGTATTCTTCTTGCTGTTGCTGGTATAGCTGTCTCTTGTAATGATACTGGGAATTTAAACTCTGGTTGGGGTCACCAAAAGGATGAGGCCTAGCATTTGCATGATATGCTGCAGCCAAAGATGAGCCTTCTGAGTTCTGAGGGTAGCCAGAATGCAAGGAACCCCTGTTAACTCTTTCAGATAGCGTCATATGTGGGTTCATGTGATGCAGATCTGCTCCTGGGCCTCTGCTTCTGCCCGGTGACATTTTCAGCTTATCAGCAAGATCCTGAAATTGAGAAGGTGATTTACCCCTGCTGCTTCCAGTTCTGCCAGGTGCTCGTCTCAGCTGTGTTGATCTGCTCTCCTGCTGGGGAATGTAGTCTGGAGCAGAATCGGAGACGGCAGCTCCAGGGCTAGCATTGCCTCGGAAAGACTCATGCTTGATGCCAGCAGAATGACAATGGTCTCCTGTCTTTTTATTATTAAGACTAACTGAGCTCTTTGACTGTTCAAACTCTTCTTCTTTTATTTGCCCACTGTGAGCTTTCATCTTTGTTTCCATGGATACTAAACCACCAGGGAGTATTACTGACTGGCTTAAGCCAGGGGCAAGACGTTCACTCCTTCCACTTCTGCCCTCGGGACCCATGTGCCCCATTGGGTGAGGACCAGGATCTCTGACAAGCTGCCTTAATGGAGATATGTCACAGATCACTGATCTCCTCTCCGAGAGTGCTCCCCCTTCATGAGAAGACGACTGAGACTCCATCTCAAACTTTCTAGCAATAGGGTAATCAGCTAAATTTATCTGCTTCATGTCAGGGGCTGCGCTGCTAGACTTCCTATCCCAGGGACCCCAGTGAGGGCCTTCCAAGAGAGACCCCATACTTTTATTTAAGAGGCCTCTATTCGTCAATTCATTGGCTTGACTAATTAAGATATTGGGCCTCATGGCTCCCTCCAAACTCCCAGCCATCCCAGAATGTTCCTGTGCATTCCTAGAATACCTCCTGTCTGGATGATGGTGGTAACCCTGTAAGACCTCCTGCAGAAGGCTAGGAAACTTCTCATTCCTGCCTTTGCGCTCACTGTGTCCTGGGAAATCTCCTTTTTCTTGACCGGAAGGATACTGTGGAAAACCACCAATATTTCTCTGTATGCCAGCTGCTATATTATCTTTGTAACTGTATCTTAAACTGCCAGGAGATTTGGAAGGTTCTGTTCTCACAGGAAAATTTGACCCAACAACTGCATGGCTGGGCTGGCTGTTCCCCTCTCCATTATGGTTAGTGTTATCTCCACTTTTGCTCCCCTTAGTACCTCCTTGAGCTTCTGGCTGTGGCCCTGCATGCCCAGCTTCCTTTGTTCCACTAGCACTAACTGGTGTCTGAGTAGCTGTGGAAACATCATCTTGTGCAGGTTTCTCTTGTCCACCTGACTTTTCTACTCTACCTGCCATAGCCTCCCGGGAGACAATCACTCCAACTGCCTTTTCATTCACTTTTGGGGTATTTTCTACTGCCACCACAGCTTCCTTCCCATCAGGGGAGGCAACATCTTCCCTAGCTGCAGGGCTGGTGCTGAGTTTTGAGGGCTCACTCTGAGAGCCTTGTGCTGGTGACGAGTTGGATCTTTCTAAGTTACCCCCCTTATAGGTAGTGTCTGAGCTTGTACTCTGGCCACTCAGCTGTCTCACCCTTTCCCCATGATCCTCTGAACTACTGGAACAGCCACCATCGAGGGACTCTGCCAGGGGGGACTTGAGCTGCTCCTCTGCCTGGGAAGAGCCTTCTGAGTTTGTGCAGCTGTCAGCCTTCTTTGAAGAGGATGACCTTTTGGAACTTTTTTTCTGAGGTGCCAAGGCATCAGAAAGCAACATGTGCTGGACTGTGTTGGGCAGATTGGCCACTTGAGAACTTAGGGCACTCAGGCTACTCAGCCCTGGATCTGTGAGCCTTTTTTCCTGCAGTCCTTCCAACCCAAACCCCTTGAATCCCCCTGCATGAGCATTGGGACTTGGCATCATAGATGGTGTAGGACTAAGCTGAGGCATCATCTGCAGGATTCGGTTTCTAGAACCCATGGACATGTTGCCTTGCCCACACTGGAGATTTTCTCCACCTGGCATGAGAGGAGAAGGGGTGGAGCTGCAGCTTGGAGACTGAACCACAGATGCAGCAGGAGATGGATTAGAGATTGGACTGAAGTTTTGGTGAAACTGCATCGGTGACCTTACAGGAACTTCAGTCTGGCTGTACTGTCCCACTTGACTTTGAAGAGAGAGCTTGGAGGCAGCATTTGAATACTGCATTACATGCTGAGGTGGGTGCTGCTGCTGCTGCCCCTGCTGCCCACTTTGAGGCAGCTTAGACTGCTCAAAGCTTTTCATCGGTTGAGTCTGAAAGCTGTAGTTTGACTGGGACCCATATGCCTGTGTATTGGAACCCACGGCATGGCCTTCATACTGTGACCCAGAATTCACGCTGTAGCTTCCATCATAATTCTGTCCTGACTGGCCAAAACGCTGTGGGGAGGGGAAAGAGGAGGACGAGGACGACGAAGGTGGCTGATAGTGTTGGCTGTACTGACCCACTCGTAACTGGTACCCAGAAGCAGAGGAAGGCAGGGTGGATGGACGCTGCATTGGCTGCAAGTGCGAGGTGCTAGAAGCAGACTGGCTGGAAGCCTGGGGTAAAGGCTGATGAGACTGATAGATCTGCTGTCTCAGCTGTTGTACCTGCTGCTGCTGGCTAGAAGCCTGCTGCTGATACTGAGCACTCCCTGGAGAGAAAGGACCAGTGTAATCCTGCTGATAGTGGGATACTCCCCCAAGGGTCGAATGCTGTGTTTGAAATTGGCCCACGTGTCCCTCACTCCCATACTGACTCCCAAAGCTACTCCCTTGAGGGGGCCCATAGCTCTGTACCGGTCCAGAAGGCCTGCGCTGAGGCGGCTGCTGCCCTCCTGACGCCACTGGATCTTTGTTGGTAGCCATATAGTAAAACTCTCCTGCTTCTTTTCTGAAACCTTGGTAGCTCTGATGGCCAGAGCTCTCACCAGGCATCGCTGTAGAGGCTCCTGCTGCTCCGCGACGTCCACTGCCAGTACCTCCTCCGAAGCTCTGGAACATCTGGGCCTGCTGGCGCGGGCTGAACTCCTCCAGGCGGGACGATCCGTGCACTTCCTGCGGGTAGCTCTGCTGGTTTCCGTGGTAACTACTTTGCTCCCGAAAGGACTGCATGCTGTTCAGCAGCAGAGCAACAGCTCGAAAGCCCTCCTAAAGGGGGGACAAGAAGAAAGAAAGAGGTATAGCATCTGCATGTCCCGTTCACATAAACAGCATTGCTCACTTCCACCGTTTTAACAGCAATTAAAATTGAGTACGTCTCCTACACTAATTTCTCTCTCTCTGCTTGCACTTTCCAGTCATTCTAGGTAGCAAAAGGAGTCATTGCTTTCCAAGAAAAAACAAGTCCATAGCCTACTACCAGCTGGAACATATTTTCAGCCTTAGTATTTTCTGCAGTCAGTCACTAACTGGGTCTATTTATGTGGAAAACAAGCTTCCAGCAGCATTTTGTTAAGCAGAGGAGAGTGATCTTATTCCTTCAGCTATTTTGCTACCACAAGATTAAAAAAAAGATTTAACTGTATGAACCACACAACAGACTCAAACCACCTTTGGATCTACACTGTAGGAACAACGTCCAAAGGACCACCTTTCACTGCAAATACAACTAGAATACAGTCAACACACAACCAAACAAAGATCCAACAAGATATTCCAGTGAAAAGGCAAAAATGAATCTGTGAAAAATCAGGCACCAGCATGCTTAAAGACATCTGCTTCATACTGCATTCCTAAATGCTCCAATGACACTTGAAAGGCAAAAACCAACACAAGAAGGTAACAAACAGTACTTTTTCCCCCCGACACCTGCTTTGTTCAGCAATATGAAAAGTCAGAACCAGCCCACTCTTTTGAACAAAGGGGCCTACACTTCATCCTCTAGACTTCTACATTATCTTGACTGGTAAAACTTAACTGAAAGTACTTGTCAAAAAAAACAGAACATATTTTTTTGAACACCATGTGTGCTACCCACATCTACATAATCAATTCCAAAGCAAATGAACTTCAGGAAGGGCCTCCTACATGCTCCTATTTGCTATCCAGTATGAGGAATCATGATTCATCCTCAAGGACTGGACAGCAGCTGCAATATTGTACAGGGATCCTGAATAAGACCTCAAAAACTTGAGGCTCCACTACAGTCACTAAGAAAGTAAAAGTAATAACAATGTGTATACACTGTTTGCTGAACATTGGTTTGTTTTGTTGGGTTTTTTTAGTTGTTTTTTAATTTTGCAGGAAAAAAAGAGAGTACAATTAAAGATCACAGAAAGATGAAAAAAGCACGTTGCTTCTGGAAGACCATACAGCTTTCCCTTCCAGCAAACAAACTGGTTAAAACCACGTGATGAGATTGCTTTCTTCAAATGTTAAGACAAGGCTCATGCTTTTCCAAGAAACAGAACTCTTAACTCCTCAAATGTGAGACTTCCCAGAACATTTGCCTTCATTATGTCTTGTCATATTGTCAGGTTATGTACTTGTCACAACCAATTGAACCCACTCAGAATTCAAGCCTTTAAGTTTCAGTCAAGTACAAGATCACCAAAGAGTCCCAAGGAAAGAGACATACAAAGAAGACGACGTAGACTATGCGTGACATCACACTCTTCCCACCTGCCTCTCATCCATCTGAGTCTTCCAGAAAGACAGTCTGGTTTTATTTGGGTTACTATTCTTTTCTACAATCCCTTTCAGCTAACTCAGGAAGGCAGAAGACTCGCTAACACAAAGAAGTGAGAACGTTTCTTTTTCTTAGTTGGTTTTTGTTTTCATCTTGCAGGTTATCTTGACAAATAAAATTTTTTGGTCAGATTACGTTAGCCTATGCCTTAAGTAAATAAGTAAATGCTCTTTTTTCAGGTCTCTTTCGGCACAACATATCTTTTCAACATCTCACAAGCAGCTTGAATAACACATCCAGCAGGATAACAGCCAAGGGGGAAAAAAAAAGCATTTCATTAATAATAGAAATTAAAAAAAAAAAAAAAAAAGGCAGCCTCACTCCATTACATCATCGATAACTTAATACCTATAGCACACTTCCTGTCATTAATTTACTGAAAATACAGGACTGTTATAATTATTAATGTAATAACGTTTCTTTAAGGTAACAGCACTATTAAGTGCACAGATTTAAGTACTGACTTCTCAGCAAAACCACCAAGGAGAATTCCACAGACAAGGTCTGTTAGTAGAACACATCCAGACAGATGAGGAAGCCTTCAAAGACCACGTGAATCCACAGGAAAAGAAAAAAAAGAGATACATATTTATTTGATTGAAATTTTACCAGAAGGACTTAAAGCAACCAGTTAAGAATCACAGAATCAGGAATGTTGGAAAAGACCACCACGATCATCCAACCAATCCCCACTGACCATGTCCTCAGTGCCACATCCATGTGATTCTAGAACACCTCCAGGGATGGTCACTCTACCACCACCCTGGGCAGCCTGTGCCACTGCAGCACCACTCTTGCTAAGAAGTTCTTCCTGCAATCCAACCTGAACGTCCCTTGGCACCTCTCATCCAATTACTGTTACCTGGGAGCAGCAGCCAATCCTCATCTCACCACAACGTCCTTTCAGGTCACTGTAGAGAGCAACCAGGTCTCCCCTGACACTCCTCCAGACTGAACAAACCCAGTCCCCTCAGCCGCTTGTGCTACAGACCTTTTGCAGCTCCACCTTCCTTTTCTAGACATGCTCCAGGGCTTCCATGTCCTTCCTTCGTGAGAGAACCAAAACTGAAGGCAGTGCTTGAGGTGTGGCCTCCGCCAGTACATTATCTCTGAAATGCAGGAACTCAGAAGAGTGGCACACCAGTTGCTGAGTAGAAACTAGAAGAGACATAAAGCAGTCCGGAACTGTGGCAGACTGCTGTAATTCTCTCCTCAGCACAAGGGGCAAAGTCTCACCTACAAAAAGTGCTCCACCAATGGCCACAAATTACATACGTTTCCAGCATTTCCCAACACACAACAAAAACATCCAAGGCCACCTCCTGTCATTCATAGGGAAGGGAAGACCTTGGCACAGCTTTCACTACACCAGTGCCCCATATACAGTAACTGAAAGAGCACCCAGCTTTGCCTCTGCAGCTTTGTGATTCTGCTCAAGCATTCATGGCTTGTAATTTTATATCCATCTGAGCACGTCCATTTAGAGATTGCAGATGACATTCACTAGACTGAATTGTTTCACTCTGCTCCAGTGTTTTTCTTTCTTCCCAAATGCTCCAGTAACCAACATCTGTCTTCAACCTGGGTAGGAACAAGGAAGCATACTAAAAGCTCTCATGGGTGACAAGAAACACCCTCGGTTTTGAGACCACTGCCCATAACTCAGAGAGAAGCAGCAGGTTTTCTTAGCTGTTTCATGATTATTTGTGCAACATCTAAGCTTATCAGGTAGTTTTTCAACCTATATTCTCCACGTGAAATTATTTCTAAGTACATCTTAAGTACATCTACAATGCAGACTTTGTTTCTTGTTTAATTATCTGAAACACCTCTGTAGAACAACTTTATTAACGTGGGAGTTCCCCAAAATACACAGCTACTGTATTTGGATCCTGCTGTCATCAGGATTACCAAATGGTAGCCAGCAGCATGTAAATCTCTTTAAACGGTTCCTGCATGTAAATGCAACTGTCCAACCACCGCTGATTAACAGGGTTCATCAGTCCTCCCACACAAAGATTACTGAGTGAAATGATTTTCTGCAACATACTGTGCTAGGTTTTTAAAATCCATATAAATCTCTGAACTTTTCTGTCCCAATTATCAAAGACAAATATAGATTTTCTCATGTAGTGCCAATGCCACTGTAGTTGCAGCACTACAGCCAGCCAGCTCAACACAAGTGAGCTGAATGGCAAAATACTGTGGGGATATGCTTAATCCTTACAATAAGCCAATGAAAGAGCAAACCAAATCAGCACCACTTCATTCTGTAGGAGGTGAAATCTTTCTGCTTTGTTAAATTTTCTTCAGATTTGAGTTGACTACTGCGACCCATCTGTGCAGAGAAGTCTCAAGGCAGCAGTCAAATATAATGCATTTCTGGTGATCTGCCCAAGACCTCTCACTTCCTAGAACACTGATCAGCAAGGAAAATGTCATCACAGACAGGTGACAAACATTAAGAAAGCATATTCCATTGTCCAAGTATGTACATTAACAACTGCTGTTTCTTTAATTATTATTTTTTCACACTGTCCATCCAGGCTTTTGATTAAAACACTTATTTACTAAACGCTGTGCCAGAGAGAGACATACACATCTCCATAACCATTTCTAGTCCCTGCCTGCACAAAAGCCAAAATTCTTCTCCTTCCTCTCTCCATCACAAAGTTGCAGAGCATGCACAACTCCAAATCTCCATCATTCCAAAACTTCAGCGTAACTCCACTGAATAATTTGTCCCTAAAAAACCCTAAGATCAGAATTAAATCTAAAATAAAGTTAAAAATATATATATTTCCACAAAGTGCATATCACTTCCACAGTCAAGGCAAAGTTACCAAGCCTCACTTCTGCAGGTGGTCAGCTGCAACTTGCACAACTGAGCAGCAGCAGGGAACAAACTGATCTTGTTCCAGTCTGGGGGAGAATATCACTGCATATGCTGCTTTTAAGAAGAAAAAGCAGTTTTAGTTTTTTGCCTTAGGTGTAACATGCAAGTAAACCAGACAGCTGACACTGCAAGAGGTCACCATCTTGTCCAAGCAGTACTGGTCAGCCTGAAATACACAGCAGGTTTACTTTGTACCTTTCTATACAGCTGTTTCAGATCCTGTTCCAGCCGGAAGTTACTTCCATGTACAAGGAATAAACCGAATGATCTAAGACATAAGAAACTTGTATATTGTCTCATCCAACTCCATTATTTCAGAGAAAGCAGCAATCACACCTGGCTCTCACCAAGACATAATTTATTCTATCAAATAAACTTCATCACATCACTCAAAGTTTAAACAGTGCACAATTAATTTTCATAGACAGTGTCACAAGGTAGTGAAGCAGACACTTCATCTGCTCCAAGTCATCTCAGCAATTCTGTAACGATGGAAGTTTAAACCGTAACATTTAATTAATGAAAACAACTTTACATGTCTTAAACACACACATATGTAATTAT